ATCGTTTTCACGCTCAAAGCTTCAACTCAATCACAACAAAATAAGATACCAACCCTTCCTCTGATATCTCGGGTCTCATCACTTGCACTAGGAAAGTTCGGTTCCACCGACAGGAGTAGTAAAACTAGGTATAAGCTTACCACGACCTTAACATGCATTACCAAGTCATATATGAAATTTGCCCATTGAATGTCCTCAAGGAACCATGCAACCTTTCCAGGTACATGGTGAAGGGTTATAACCCTCACTAGTGCAAAAGAGGCTTTTTACGTCAGCTATTTTAAGGTTTTTACGCCAGAAAAACTTCCGAGGTAAATGCGGGAGACGTAAATTTACGTCGTCGTTTAAGACCGACGTAAATTTACGTCGGAGATTTTGACCACCGACGAAAAAAAGTTGCAAAACCCAAAAAAAATTACACTGGAACGGCCCGTTCTGCAAGCAGAACGACCCGTTCTACAACCAGAACGGGTCATTCTCCTTGAAGAATGGGTCGTTCTCCTTGCAGCACGAGCCGTTCTCCTTGCAGAAGCGTTTCTATGTTGGAATCGATATTGAGAGTCGTGTCCTTAACTTGAACTAGTAGTTCATATTCAAGATCCAAAAGGCCTTGTACAAATTTTTCACTCCATGTCATACTCTGCTCCTGTCTACAGCCAAAGATAAACATTATGATACCATGCAATCTGGTGAATAAAGAAAATAGAAAAGCGAAAGGAGGGAAGAAGATAGGAAAGGAACCTTCGAACGTAGGAAAGGAGCAAAGAACGTAGGGAAGGAAATCAGAGCGCTCCCAACCTTCGAACGTAGGGAAGAACTTAGGGCTTATGAAGAATAAGAAGAGAGCAATCCATTTATTTAAAACTCTTTTACGTCGGACTACATAGGATCCGACGTAAATTCAACAATCTACGTCGGGTGTAGCTGATGTCCGACGTAGATTGTTAAATTTACGTCGGAACCTATGTTGTCCGACGTAAAAAAGTTTTCATTATTTTAAAAAATGTCACCGCATCATTTTTACGTCAGGTATGTTTTGGTCCGACGAGAAAATACAGACGTAAAAAGCCTATTTTGCACTAGTGCCTCAACCTCTTACCTTACTCAACCATTAACTAAGGACTTGGAGGAGACTCAACACACCTCAAAACTTGCTCCAAGAGACACACCTTCTCAAGAAGGGTTTTCCAAACAGTGACTTACCCGAGCACCACTCCAAGATACCCTGTGTGGGATCTTCAATTTTCAAAATAATTTTCTCTTCTCAAATTCTAAGTTAACCTTCATGCTTTAATGTTACACCGCATTCTCAACATCTACACCTCGCAATGCATCTATTATATACATCATATCCAGTCAATGCATATAGAGATCAATAACATCAATCATCTATAACATACTAATGTTTAACATCCCAACCAAGAACAACATACCAATGCTTAATAATTCATACAATAATAGGATATCAATGCTCCACAATTCATTTAAATATAGCATATCAATCATATAGAGCGTACCAATACTCATCACCATTTCAAGTACACAAAGATAACATACCAATGCTCATTATCATTTCAAGTACACAAAGATAGCTTATCAATGTTCATTATCATTTCAAGTACACAAAGATAGTATACCAATGCTCATTGTCATTTCAAGTATACAAAGTTAGCATAGCACTACTTATTATCATCATCCTACATTCTATAACATGCAATAGACACAAGTATTCTATTCATGTTCACCAAATTTCACCCATCACACAACATGTATCAACATACAACTTAATTATCCTACATCGACAACCTTCACATAAAACAACACATAGGAATTTCTACTACTCTTATCATGCTCATCCTCATTTCATATGAAAGAAAAGAATATTTCTTATAATTTTTACGAAGAACTTGGGTTCTAATTCCCCTATCTACCATGTTAAAAATTGTAAAAACCGTAACAATTTTCCTAAATGCTAACAACTTGACCTTTTCTCACTGAAAAGGTCATAATTGGAGTTCTAGACCTCCTTTTTTGGTGATTCCAATGCCACGGGAAAGATAACATCCAAGGCTACAACTTTCATGAAGACTTCAAGACCAAATTAGGTCATCTACTCTTAGTGATGCAACACTCAATTCAACACTTCGGCGTTAGATTTCTATCAGCTTCGTTTTCTCCCAAGGTTGCAACACTCAACTCAACGCTGCTGCAGCGTTGGATCTCTACCATATCAATTTTATCCCAGGGATGCAACGCTCAACTCAATACTGCAATGCTAGATTTTTGCCACCCCATTTTCTTTCACAACTGCAACGTTGAGTACAAAATTTTCTGCACTTTCATGGCTTCCCTTTTCGTTCCTCACTTACATTTCACCAATTTTCCTCCCAAACATGATCTCCACTATTAATATCCACTAGATTCATGCAACCCATAAACCATAAGAAAACACAACATGCATGGATCAAAGCTCAAAGAAAATCATCAACATTCAACCTTCCATCAAGAAAACCAAACCCTTAGTTTTCAACATGCACTCACTTCGAATTCATCCCCCTAGCTATAGACTTTTCAAAAATCCTACCAATTTTAAGTTTCAATTCATTCAAAAACCCAACATTTCAACAAAACACAAGATTATAGCTTCCCTTACCTTGATTTTGGGCTCTCTAAGGAAGAAGAAGAAGAGAACATAGAACTCCGGGCTACTCCGAGGTGGAAGAAGAGAAGGGGAAGGAAATGGGCTCCAAGCTCCAACAACTCAAGTCCCACAGTTGCACCACGGGATTCTCAGCTCTAAGTCTCAAAAATCTTCCCATAAGAATATGAGAAAAGAAAGAGAAGTGTTTGGTTATTGAAGTTCCTATCCCTTAAAATCAAATCTCAATGTACTCAATTTAAATAAAAGTAAAATGATTTCATGATTATCCATCAATTTGAATTAATGAAATGAAGTATCAAATGGTTTTCAAATTTTATAAAAATTTGCAGACTTAATCTATGCATTAAGAACTTTAAATTCAACAATTAGATCGTTAAAATTTGATAAAACATGAGTTATTGAACGAAATAAGTCTAAATAGACTTACTTCTATAATAAATAGATATCTCCTTATATATATATATATATATATATATATTATCTCTTT